TCCTCTGTGCCCTGCTGCGCAGTATGTCTTTTACCAGGGTTCACCCACCATTAACCACGGAATCGGAGCATCTACTCGTAGGACCAAGATTGATCTTAGATAGTATGCACCTGGCTGCGATCTCAAGCAGGTTCCAGTCACCATATGCCTCGGCATATCAACTTTCTTTTGCTCCATTAGGTCGCTTTCGACACGTAATTAGTGGGCTCCTGATTGGGCCTTCCGCGTGTACTAATCAGAATCACGTACCAGTCAATGGGGTCCCCACTCCACCATTGTCATCGTTGGCAGGTAAGAGAGAGCTCGCCCCCGCATTCTCGGGGCGCGTGTACACGAATCTGGCGCACATTAATGTCGTCGTGAAAGATTTCTTTTACAGAGCGTGGCTTCCCTGAATGCCTCCAGACGCGATCCACTCTTCATGCGTGATTAGAGCTCCACCCATGTGCATCTGCCCTGGACAAGCCAGAGCACAAGGCTCTCGGGCGTGTTTGTGACCAGGCTTCTCTCCAGGCTCATGCGCTGAGATGAAAGGAGCCGCTTGTGCTCCTCGTGCTCGTGGGTGAGCGCCACATTGCGAAACCTTGATTGGTAGAAGCGTACCTCCCCCTTCTCATCAACTATTACCGCGCTGCAGTCCGACAGGGATCTCGTCTTGGTTCACGTGCTCACAAGTGAGCGCTCACTTGTGTGCTCAGCGCAGCTGGAATCATAGGGAAAAGCATGGTCATTTCGCCTGACTATTCGGCAACAAGGATGTGAGAATGAATCTGCAGCTAGTTCGCGGAAAGGTACACCACAATAGATTATCCGTAGTTCGTTAATTGGTCGCTGATTGGTTACTGCACACTGAATGGCGGGGAAAGATCCCCGTTCACAATGCCGACGTTACCTCGCCTACTGTGACTGTGACTGTCGTGCTAGCGACCACGCTTCACGAACGAGCTCGGGGTCCAACGGCTCGATCGCTGCGTTCGCTGTGGTTCCCTGCCCAAGCGCTGCGTTCTTTCTCCTCGCCTGTCCCGTCGTCTCTCGTTTTCCCCCCCCCACACAAGCGGCCGTCATAGCTACCGTCGAACAGGTACTTTCGCTGCATTCTCTGCGATCGCTTGCCCCTGCGCACCGTTCCCTCTGGTCGCCCCGTTACCGAATGCCCCCCCCCCCGATACACCTGCTATGGTTATATCCAATATGGACTGCAGTCCTCCCCCGCTCCTGGCCCGGCCCACGGTATCTAAGGAATCCCCAGACTCGGGGTAAGTAAATAATCCTGGCAAAAATCCATCGCGAGTTTTTTTTAATAAAATTCAATCAAATAATAATTGAACTTCCATCTCGAATGGTTTTTATAGAATTTAATCAAACAATAAATAATCACTGTCTTTCTTTTCTTTTATTATTTTTAATTATTTTCTCACTTTCAATTCCATTATTGGAAATAATCTGAGAAACGAGCCCTCAAGTGGCCCTACCAGACATCACATTGTTCTGGGCTAAGACCCCAGCAAGCCAAGTGCCCGCCCTAAGTGAAGGCGGGCCTGAATATTCGTCACAGGCCAAATTCGACATTTCCATATGTGGGTATTCAGGCTCTGGCAGCGCSTCAGTTGGTTGAGTGAWCGCGCGAGCCTCACTAAGCTGCGTCGTACARTTGGCCCAGGCCACGAAARTTGTGCCTGRGCATATACACACMAAGCAGGKCCGATACATTGAGAAGCAGGCCGTCRGCCTTTGGGAAAAGCAGTACYGCYGACGCATCTATCCGGGGCCCCTRCACAGATACAGCCAACAGCCAGGCCGTGCTCAACTGAAAAGGGCCCAGGCCCTCAACTGTAAGTCTCGGGCCTGGGCACAGGGTCTGGGGCCCAACCGGAAGTTTCTGGAAGCTTCCAGCCAGGCCACCCGCAGCATCGAAGAGGCTGACACTTCCATAAAGGAAGTGAGGCAGCCCAGGCCAGACATTCTGGCCAGCGTTAGCTATGCGGAAGTGCTGCCAAGGGCGCTGACGGAGCGCGAGTGGTGAGGTGGGGCGCTGCAGGGCAGCGGGGTGCAGGCGGCCATAGCCGGGCTGCTAGGCGCCAGGGGGTACAGCGGATGATTGGATGGTCTTCAGGGAGAGAGGCGCTGTGTGGGGTAATCAAGGTCTGATTGAGGGTGACGAGATACGTGCCCGGTACATGAAGAGAGGTCGCCGATGGTGTTGACAGTCATGTACATTGGTCTTCGTGAGCCGAAGTGATCCTGTTGTGTGAACCAGCTGTAGAGTAGGATAGTGTGGTAGAGTAGGCGGGGCGCTGTGCGCCAGATAGAGAGAGCGACTCTGGATACTGTGTTGGTGTGGCCTACGGCCTTGGACATTAGCTCAATACTTCATTGTATTGCTCTTTATGGATGGTTTTCTCGGTGCATTCGTACTCTCTACTTGGGATACTACTACTTGCTCAGCTGTGTGATTTCACAACTTGGTTTTATGTATATCGCTCACTCTCATATTCCTTTCAATAAGGAAAATAATGAATAATTTCCTCAAGAACGAATCCCGATAAAATTTAAATAATTAGCAATTATCCCATTTTTCTCGCCCCTCCTATTCCTTTTAATTCTTTTTTCCCCACTTTAATTTTTTATATTAAAATTAATAAAATTTGAGGCGTCATTTCGGCACCAATCGTATGCAGCAAAAGTGTCGTGCCAAGGCCTATGTCCGCCTTCTCGTCCCGCGGCTAGTCACTTCGGGATTAGGCTTGGAACGGACGAAAACAATAGGCACTAGGCGCAGCAAGCGTGCCCTGTTCCTTTCGTTGATTTCAAGGGTCAGTGTCAATACTCAACGCGGGGGATTTTAGGGGTCTCTTTCGGACCCCTAATTTTTTTCGATGGATCCGATGAAACTCCCGGTCAATCCCTCTTTAGGCACTTAATCCAAGGCCCAATCCATCGAAATTCGGGTGGCCGACTAACCTTGCCGCCCGACAGCGTCATGCTGCTGCGTTGTGGCTAGTGCGCTTGCGGGGCGCGTTGAGGTGAGGTGGGGCGCTGCAGGGCAGTGGAGCGCGGGAAACCATAGCCGGGCTGCTGGGCGCTAGGGGGTAAGAGGGCGATTCGTGGTCTTCAGGAAGGAGGCGAGTGCGTGGGTGATCAAGGTCTGATGAGGGTGACAAGATACGTACCTCGTGCATGAAGAGAGGTCGGCTATGGCGATGACATCATGTACATTGGTCTTCGAGAGTCGAAGTGAGCCTGTTGTGTAAATAGAGCTGCAGGTAGGATAGTTGAGTGGAGTAGGCTGGGCGCTGGGCACCAGAGAGAGATGAGCGACATTGGAAACTGTGTTGGTGTGGCCTGAGGGCTTGAACATTGGCTCATTACTTCATTGTATTGCTCTATTTGGATGGATTCTCGGTGCGTTTGTGCTCTCTGCTTGTACACGACTACTTGGACATCTGTGTGATTTCGCAACTCGGTTTCCTGTATATCTTTCACACTCATATTCCTTGCAATTTGGTATCAGAGCTGGTTCGTGATCGCCGCTAACTCGACACTGGCGACGTTGTTACTTGGTGCGCTGAGATGCTTCTATGCAGTAAGGATACATTGACGCTGGTTTGATATAACGGGGCCCACGTAGAGGGGCCGGACGCTGGAAGGTTGTGGTGACAGCGTGAGAGCTGTGGCGACAGCGGATGTATGTATGGTGATGAGAGCATGCTGATGTGGCATTTTGGTTGAGGTGGCACTACATTGCGTTGTGGGTGGTACCGAGGCTACGACCGGTTATCGAAATGCATGTCAACTCAATTGGTGAGAAATTTGTGGTTGTGGGTAGCTATCTCCAGGTACGTTGTTCCCATTCCTTATCTACCCTCTCAATCTCTTTTTAACGCGAGGAAGCGAGTCCAACCTTGAGTGTCCTCTCTTTTGTGTGACGAGTCGTGTGCACTCTACTTGAGAGACGACATTCTTCTCGGTGGCGAATCTGGCAGGAGAGAGAGGTGCCTTTGAAGGGCCCTGGTCGAAGCACGGGTCACAGTCAGCATGCCAACCCATGAGAGTCGTACACGCAGGCCATGTTGCTTTGTCCTTTGAGGCTCTTTGTTGCACTGATAGAAGGGGTGTGCGGACTGACCAGTCCTATGCAGACATTCCTAGACCGTGTATAAATATTTCTGCTTGGGGTCTGAACTGTCCACTGGCTGTGATCGTTGTCCTGATTGCGACGTTAAACAATTCCTGAGAACTCTTGGGGACTGTCCTTAAATTGCCTCTTGATCAGCCATATCAGTGAAACGTAAGGCTCGTCGCACGCGAGGATAAAGAACGGGCAACTTTGGTCATAAGCATACCTCTTGGGGACAGAGGTGGGCCACAAATGCACACCGTAGACACTGCCACTCGATGATGCTCACAAGCACGTTGGATACAGGGGAAGGAGATTCCAATTGAGGACTCAACTGGCAAACACTATCATACCCATGGTGCATACATCTGCTCACATTAGTTTATTTTTATTTTGATCAGTTGGTTCACAGATTGCTGACACCTAACAGACAGCCTAAAGTAGGACTGTAATATTCTACCATAGTCAGTTCTTCTCAAACCTTTTGTAGAGAATTAATCAGGATAGAAGTAGAATATGTGTATAGTCTGTGTAGATGCTGTTGATACCGCTTGAACAGAAGTGAAGGTAACTCGCCGGATATTATTTTCATTTTATTTATTTTTAGAACCGGTCAGACGCATGTTGCAGTAGGTTCCAGAGTGGCCACTAGTGTAGACAGCATCTGCCTAGCTGATGAGTGGATCAGAGGGTGGTGAAGGTTCAGCTGACAACCGAAGGCAGACTAGGCGTGACACGCACAGAGTACCTTTAGTGTTCCACGTCCTGTTACCAGGAGACGAGAGAAGGCTTAGGGTCGAAGCAAGGGCCCGTCATCTTGAGACTGTGAGGGAAACTGCAACAGCCGTAGAGAGAACGTTGGCAGCAGCAGCGGCTAGCGCAGTGGCAATGGCTACAGCTGCGGCATCAACTACAACAACCTTGAGGGAAGCTGCAGCAGCTATAGAACGTTGGCAGCAGCTGTAGAGAGAACGTTGGCAGCAGCAGCGGCTAGCGCAATAGCAATGGCTACATCTGCGGCATCAACTACAGCAACCTCGTTCGGTTTCTCGTTGGGAATGCCGAACACCACAGGACAGTCCATTTCCAGTACAATAGGGTCCCAGGCCAGTCAGATGGCGGGCTTGCAGTCCAGCTCGCCGCCTCCACGCACTAGGGAGCAGGTGGACCTCCAGCAAGTAGAAAGGATCCGCTTAAGGCTAGAGGAGGAACTGAAGAAAGCTACCAACAGGGAGAATGAGATTATAAATAAAAGTATTAGACTAGAGAGTAGAGAGGCAAACAAAGCTGCACTAGAGGGGTTAGATGACTCAACCCTTGACGACACCGCAAGGATTCTTAAGGCGAGCACCCTATCCATGCACGCGTACATGGACAGCAAACTGGACGCTATCCAGGACACCCTACACCAGATCCTGAATGCGATGCATAGGCTAGGAATCAGGCCAGCAGCTTTGCCATCGCTGCCATTCTCAGTGATGACAGGCCCGTATCCGCCCATGTCTGGTACCACACCAAGTGGTACTTCAGCAGCAGCCCTATCTCAGACTGTTGCTTCTTCTTGTGGTCCAACGGCGGGTGCTACACCCCAGCCGCCACCTGTCTCACTAGTGGGACAACAACAACCATGGTACCCCAAGACCCCACTGAAACCACCCGCCACCTTCTCAGAGATAACAAGGAGGTTCTCGACACTTGGTTGAGAACGATTTCAGTATGGGTAAGGGCGAAGAGGACACTGGTAGAGGAGGAAGTGATAATTGTTGCATCCTACCTAGAGGGTTCAGCAACTCGCTGGCTAAATGGATTGGTAGCCTCAAAAGGGTTCGGCAGGAACATGGGTGACTGGGCCAAGACCCATACCCTTGAGAGCTTTATGGATCTGGTGGAGGCGCATTGGCACAACCCTCAGCAGGCACAGATTGCCACTGATGGGTTACTAAAGCTTGATACTAGGCGGTACAAGTCTGTGCGAGAGCTTACCACAACCGTAGAGCGTTTGATTGTCGTTCCATGGGTGGAGTACAATCCGCAGGTCTTATTGACCATGTTCTTGAGGTGTCTTCCCACAGACATCAAGAACTTATTGGCCAGCGAGGCTCGACTAGAGTATCACACTTTTGAGACCTTCAGCAAGAAGGCCCTAGATTTAGAGGCTACGATGGGTGGTGCTCAAACCCCCCCTACAAATTGATGATGGTTGATTCCGAAGGAAATCAAACTAAGATCGTTGATGTTTCTGACCTTGTGGATAGTTCAAAGTTTGACGACGGGGATAGTGTTCAAGGCTAAGCTAGGTGGCCGCGACAAGGGCGGTCAACAGAGAAGTCAGGGGCAAACCGCAAGAGCCGGTTTGGATCAAGATGTGTGGCGGGACCGTTACCAACGAGGGGCTTGCATAAACTATGCTGAGTATTAGTCTGGGACCTCTACGAGCTCCAGCTCGGGAAACATCTAGGGCCAGTAGAAGTTGTAGGTGCTTCTACTCTTGTTGAAGTGGGTGATGTACCCTATCCGTTTCAAGAGTTGGCCGAAGCTATTGACTGCTTAGTCACCCTACAAACGCATCTGGACCCAACTACTATGTAACCATTTGGCGTTTGCGTTCAAATTTGTGTTTGAAAGCGGATTCAAATTCGAACGCCGTTCAATTTTTTTATTTTTTTATTTATTTTTTAAGAGCCTCTCTCTCTCTCTCTCTCTCTCTCTCTCTCTCTCTCTCTCTCTCTCTTGCTTGCTATGGTTCTCTCTCTCTCTCTCTCTCTCTATCTATCTATCTATCTATCTATCTATCTATCTATCTCTATCTATCTATCTATTTATCTATCTATCTATCTATTTATCTATCTATCTATCTATCTTTATCTATCTATCTATCTATCTATCTATCTATCTATCTATCTATCTGTCTATCTATCTCTCCCTCCCCCTATGGTGCTCTCTCTCTCACTCTCTCTCTCTTTCTCTCTCCATCACTGCGCGTGTGAACGCTGTAGGCCGCATTTTTTTTTTTTTTTTTGAAATGCGGAATTGAACGGCACGTTCGGTGGGCGTTCATTCCGTTCAAAAATTCAGCGGAAGACCCGCGTTCAATGAGTGCACGATTACACAGTCCATCTATACTTTGTATGTTGGATGAGTCTGAAGCCTTAGACGACCTTCAAGGTGAGTGGTCGGCAAGGGACCCTGAGTCCTAGGTGGCACTAAGTCGGGTGTAGCGCCTTAGTAGACCGGTAGCATCTACTTTGGCCAACAAAGAGCGCATGATCGTAGAGGACTACATTAAGGACGTGGCCTGCACTTTCTCCTATCCAGAGAGGAGATCTTAATCATAGAATTTCATTCCTGGTGAGCGACGAATTGCCTTTCGATATGTTGTTAGGCATGTACTACCTTGAGGTTGCCAAGCCCCAGTTCGACTGGGACAAGAAGGTGCCAAAGCAGGAGTTGCCTAATGGGAGAACCGTTATACTGACTAAGTACAAAGCCAGTAGGTTAATTGACTCTTATGGGTGCCTATGCGCATCTGCGTTCTATAATTATTACAAACAGAACCAAGACGAAGGTATGTACCTAGTCTATGTCTCTAAGAAAGGGGAGGTCATTAAAAAAAAACAGAGATAGAGAACATCATCACTTAGTACCCTAATCTGTTTGAGGAGCCTACAGGAGTCCCAGACAAGGAGGTTGTCCATGCCATAGAGATCATCCCAGGTGGCAAGACACCTAAAGGGAGAATCTATAGAATGGCTCCGACTAAGTTGAACGAGCTTCGGCAACAACTAGGTTGGATACGGCCTAGCACCTCCCTCTTTGGCTCACCAGTATTATTTGTCCCAAAGAAAGGGGGATCACTAAGGATGTGCATTGATTATAGAGGCCTCAATGCCATCACTGTTAAGAACACAGAGCCTCTACCGTGCATCGACGACCTATTGGATAGGGTGCAGGGATGTAAGTACTATACTGAGATAAACGTAAAATCCAGCTACCATCAGATTGCTATAAGACCAGAGGACCAACACAAAAACGCATTCCAGACCAGGTACGGTCTTATACGAGTTTGTGGTGATGCCCTTTGGCCTTTGCAATGCGCCGGGTATATTCCAACATGCCATGAATAGGATCTTCCATGACTACTTAGATAAGTTCATCGTCGTCTACCTCGATGATATACTTATCTTTAGTAAGACTTTCGAGGAACATGCCCAACATGTAGACAAGGTACTTTCACTCCTTCGGCAACACAAGTATAAGATAAACTTAGAAAAATGCGAGTTCGGTCGCAGTCTCCGTGGATGGGATTAGGCCCGAAGATGCGAATGTGGCTAGCATACATGACTGGCCACACCCCCAATCTGTGAGTGAGGTCAGATCATTCTTGGGAATGTGTGGTTATTACCGCAACGAACTGTAGTACAATTGCATCTCCCTTGACTGATCTAACTCCACTTGATATGCCATGGGAATGGACCGCCACGTGTGAGGCAGCGTTCAAGCGTTTGAAGCATGCACTCACACACCATGAGGTTCTCATGGTACCGACCCGCAAAGGTCGTTTGTTGTAACCACTGACGCAAGCCAATACGACATTGGGGCAGTGTTGCCTCGGCATGAAGGGAAAAAGTTGAGACCGGTCGAGTATATGAGCAAAACGATGCCATCAAAGAAGTTGGCAAAATCCACCTATGAGAGGGAACGCTATGCCCTCTACAAGGCACGTGTCCACTGGAGGCACTATTTGTTAGGAAGGTTGAGAACTGACCATCAGACCCTCGAGTAGATCAAGACACAACTGGTTCTCTTCGATGCACTCAAACGCTGGATTGAAGTCATAGATCAGTATGATTTCAAACTAGACTATGTGAAAGAAGAGTACAACAACGTTGCAGATGCATTGTCTCGTAGGGCAGATTACCTAGGTGCGCTGATTTATGAGTCTGGTCTTTCTGAGAACATTACTCGATCCTTGGGGGAAGCCTACAAGGAAGACCCTATCACGATGGACATCATCAACAAACTGAAGGCCAAAGACAAGGTCACCACTGACGAGTTTGTGACGGTGGATGGGTTACTCTTTCTTGAGAAGGTAGGGTTTAAAAGGTTAGTTGTTCCATTTGCGTAGTTTATTTTCAGGTGAGTGCCACGACGCAACGGGACATTTCGGCTATAAGAAGACTAATGTTAATTTAGTACAGCGATTTTGGTGGCCTAACATGTCGGACGATGCAAAGAAGTACGTACAAACATCTCAGGTCTGTCAGCGGGACAAGCCACGTACTTAAGCTCCGCTTGGGTTACTAAAGCCTCTACCCATCCCTGTTGGTACAGGACGAAGTATCTCCATGGACTTCATGGATACCCTTGTGACCAACAAGAGTGGCACGAGACATATCTTCGTCATAGTTGATAGGTTCACTAAGTTTGCTAGACTAATTGTCATGCCGGAGACCGTCAGGACTGAACACGTCATCAAGTTATTCATGGATAACTGGGTGCGTGACTTTGGACTACCGAAGACGATCGTTAGTGACAAAGATGTGCGTTTCACAAGCGAGATGTGGAAGAAGGCCGCTGAACAGATGGGCAGCCAACTCCAAATGACTTCTGGGAATCATTCTGAAGCCAATGGGCAGGTTGAACAGATGAACCGGGTGGTGCAGCATCTGCTGAGGCATTATATTAAGCCCAACCAGGATGACTGGGATGAGAAATTACCTCTCATCGCCAGTCTGTACAATTAACGTTGTACATAGCACCACCAGGGTCACCCCGAATCAGCTGCATCTGGGGTGGAAGCCTAGATCTGCACTAGACTTCCCCCTTCCTGAAAACCGACCTGCTGCAACTCCTGGAACCATTGAGTTCGTTGTCCAGTACGAGAAGTTGCTGCAGCAAGCTGTCGAGAACATCAAGAAGTCTCAGGAAGCAAATGATTGCTTATGATAACAAACATCGCCAGCAATCTACATTTCAGGTAGGGGAACGTGTCTTGGTTAAGGCTAGTGAACTGGGACAGGAGTTTGACATCTCTAGGAAACTAATGCCTCAGTACTTCGGTCCCTGGGAAGTCCTGGATGTTGTGGGTAGTGAGATAGATGGTCCCTCGTACGTTATCCTTATCCCTCGTCACTTACGCACTCACCCTGTGTTTCATGCCTCAAAGCTCGCTCCTTTCGCTGAGACAGAACAGTTCCCATCAAGGAGATCTATGCTGCCCCCAACCATGGATGGTCTCGTTGTCGAGCGCACGGTCCTCGCAATGATAGGGGACCTTCCTGGCCTCGTCACGCAGGATTCGACAGAACTTTAAACCCGTAATGCGTTGCCGCTCCGGCCGAGTGCGCCAGCCATAGCTCTCGCGAACCCCTACGACATGATAGGGCCACGCGAGGTACAACTTACCTCCACCTGCGGGGGTTGTTACCATCCCTTAGGTGGGCGTATCCCCGTCGAGCTACCAGTCCACAGTACGAAAGCCTTCGTATGCGATCGCAGAGGTGGACCAGCCGAGGGCGTTTTCTCGTACGATGTAGCATAGGGGGTATGCGCGGTCCCATGCCTCAATCAGACCCGTACGCGAGCTGACGCACTGGGGGGCTGAAGTCCCAGGCGCGACTCAGCGTCGGTCGACTAGGACGTATCCTTCTTACCACGCGTTACACCACGCAAAAACAAAAAGTCAGATCATTCACACAAAACAAAACACTCCTAGTCCCTTTAGTATCCAACCCATAACCTTTCAGTACAGAAATCGTTTAGGCATCGTGCGCGTGACTTAATATAAAATCGCGCGGATGCAAGGCTTTCTTATCGACTAGCCATGCATGCATACGCAAGTAGTTACGACGATGGAGTATTATGTAGTACCCATAATCACGTGGCCCTCGATGGTCTTGAGGGTCGCGTTCGACACTCAAGTGTCGGCTGACACGCGCCTTGAGGGGTTAATCTCTCGACGCTAGACAACCGCAAAGGCGGTGAAGAACCACACCCTCTTCTGCACCCTGCGGAGAGTGGGTGGTACACAGGTTCCGACTTGTGGTGGCAGTCGACCCTTATGGCCATGGAGACAAGCTCCATCATCTAGGGCCTCGAGAGAAGTTAAGGGGTTTTACTTTGACGGTTGCCACTGACTTCAACGTCCAACTATAAAAATTAACAAGCAAAATCACTCAATAAATAAACAGGCATCCTAATGCCCATATTAAATTAGAACTCGAGATAAAATAAAAGACGGGAAAAATAAACCCATCAGGTATGCAGATCGTGCGACACATGGTTGTCATTCTCACTGCCTCCAAAGTAAGACTCGTATGCCAAACTCCAAAATACTAACCTGCATAAAACACAGCCACATACGAATGCCACATTGTCATGCACCAATGTGGTCAACTTTACTCTTCCCTGTAACTCACACCATCCCTCACACGTTCAGGCCCCAACTATTGTCCAACCTCCCATAAAACCCATCAGTTCTTTATAATGGTCATTAAAAAAAAGTTTGGTTAAAACCTTCAAAGAAACATATCAAAACTCGGGGCGTGAGCCGACGAATCGGCAATCAACCAACCAACTTGTTATCAAAAGATAACAGAAGACGATCCTCATAGGATCGGGCTGAACTAGTCAGATCTTGAATCAAGAACGACCAAGAAGGACTTGCACAACACAGGCAAAATCCCAAATACTTGATTTATTTATTTTTTTCTCACTTAAAATCTCATAAGACTAGATCTTAAATCTAATTATCAAATGAACTTCAGAGAATAAGGAAAAATATGGCAACATCTCCTCTATACAGGGTGGATCGCCATGACTTCTCCTACCAGAATATTCTAACTCTTCAAAACTAAGAAAATTTCGACAGCGCTTCCCATAGAAGAAGCGGATTTTCAGAATTTATACAAGGTTAAATATTAAACCAAAAAAATAACTCAGACTTCACAAAGTCAAATTTTGTCTAACTCTCTGATTTAGTAAAAAATTGGGCAACACTTCCCCTAGAAAGCTAGGCTTCCCATATTTTAATTAAGCCATACATAAACTCAAACAAAAGTTGAACTTTGAAAGTTAAAATTTGATAAACTCTTTGGTTTTGTAGAAATTTCGGCAGCGCTTCCCGTAGGAAAAGTAACTTTCCAAAATTTATACAGCGCCAAGTAAAATAAATGAACCCAGAAAATGCGATAACTTTAACTAAGTAAAATAAACTTAACTCAAAAAATGCAGGAATTGAACTAACTCCTATAGCTCCATCACGTGGCGAGCACTAACAGATTACTCTACTAAGCTGTTATGACCATGGCCAATTTCGAGATACACATCCATCGGAAAATACAATGCCATCCAATCGCAGAAAGAAATAAATGAACTTGAGAGGAGAGAGAGGGTTACAAAAAGAAGAAGAAGAAGTAAGAAAGAAGAAGAAGATGATGTACACCAGCATAGACAAGGCTCTTCTTCTTCGCCCAACAATCTCCTCCTCCTTATCTCCCCCTTCTCTTATTCATACAAGAAATAATAATACAATGTTGAATGACTGATCCAGAATCAATCCGAGTCCCTTTTCTACTGCAGGTATCACTTGACGTCCACCATAGCCATAGCTGCCTCCCCCACTCTTCACTCTCATAGGTCGAGGCTATGGCGGACTACTAGGCCTTGCTCAGATGCCCAAAGGACAACCCAAAGGAACTATGGCTGCTCTAGCTCAGGCCGCCATGCCCAACCCTGGCTTGAAGCTTCTTCGTGTGGCTCTCCCCGGTTGGGGACTCCCTCCTGCAGCGCCCACCAAGGTGATGAAGATGGCTGCCACCATAGCCAGGTAAGTACCCCTGGCGCTCCTCCCCCTTCCTTCCTTCTTCCTCCCTCGTGTCCTTCTCCTTCCTCCCCAGCAGCGCTGCTCCATCATAGCGTTGCTCCAGCCAGCGCTCCACCAGTGTGTTGCCAAACTTGCACACCGAAAAAGAGGCCGGACTCTCCGCCCGGCCCGAAGATATAGCGGTCTGCTTTGCCTCTTGCGCGGTGACTTCCGGGCCGCTTGGCCTCCCAGGCAACCAGTACCTCCTGTTTGGAGGGAAACATCATTGCAGACTCCGATATTTGCCCGTACAGGCCCTAGACTCAGACTGGTATCCTCCTAGACCTAGCCTACACTACTGGGCCTCTAAAAATGCCACTTTTGTCTTCTTCTGCTCGGCCTCCGGTACTTGCACATCTACCCCTTTCAGGTGCGGTACCGGCCTACCCGCTACTTGAGTGGTTTTCCCCCCTGCAACCCCTCAATGTCACGACCACAGGTAAGTACCGGCCCTGAGGGCCCAACGAACGAGCAAGTGCCCTGACGGGCCACACACATACTCATGCCAACCAGCACTCAGACAGGCACGGTCACACACATACCCAAACCAACCAACACTCAGACAGGCATGGTCACACACACACCCAAACCAACCAACACTCAGACAGGCATGGTCACACACACACTCAAGCCAACCAACACTCAGACAGACATGCAGTCTCGCAGGCGTGCACACACAGACTTAGTAGCAGGCGGGAAACTCAGTAAGGCATTCAGTCTATGAGCAACATTCAAAAATCAGTTGTGTGTTTCAGTCCATGTTTGGACAGGTCATCGCAAAGCAGCAAAAATAAAAAGAGCTTGAACAAAAGACAAGGCATTGCTAGCAAGCATGTCATGTCAACAACTCATTCAACCAGTTCAAAAACAAGGGTTCGTTCATCCAAAATTTTAATCTTTCTCTTTGTCCTGATTCTCAAAGACATGAGTCATGTATCTTATTTAGTTAATTGTGAACTTTCCAAGTTGTTCTCAGTCAAACCCCATGCAATCCTCAACACATTAGCCTGGACTATTCTCACAAGGAGAAGAGTCGGACCTTTCTCAACAAGCAAAAAAAACTGACTGACTTAGCAAAGCGACCAGATCAGTCAGGAGGACCTCATTTTCGGTCTCATTTCAATGTCTTAGGCAAAAAAGCAAAGCGACTGGATCAGTCGTGAGGACCTCATCTCCAGCCCCATTTCAATGTCTTAGGCGAACCAGCAAAGCGACCGAATCAGTCATGAGGACCTTATCTCCAGCCCCATTTCAATGTCTTAGGCAAACAAGCAAAGCGACCGGATCAGTCAAGAGGACCTCATCTCCAGCCCCATTTCAATGTTTTAGGCAAATGAGCAAAGCAACTGGATCAGTCATGAGGACCTCATCTCCAGCCCCATTTCAATGTCTTAGGCAAAACAGCAAAGCCAGCAAAACAATCAGATCAATCAGGAGGACCTAATCTCCAACCCCATTTCAATGTCTTAGGCAAACGAGCAAAGCGACCGGATTAGTCATGAGGACCTTATCTCCAACCCCATTTCAATGTCTTAGGCAAACCAGCAAAGCGACCAGATCAGTCATGAAGACCTCATCTCCAGCTCCATTTCAAATCATCGCAAGCAGACATCGTGGATTTTTGCCACAGACAGATGACTTAATCATGCATAGTAGATTCTCTTTCTGATTCTGTTAAAGTCCGGAATTAAAGTCAAGGAAATATACAAAAAGTTAAAACTCAGTCAAACTGAATGAAGGGTGGTATAGATAGGGGTATAGGGGATCTTAAGGGAAGATGGTGTCGGCCTACCTCATAGTTCCCTGCCACCAGGGTCCCACCTGAACCCCGGCAGAGCTCCCGCAATCGGTGGGGCGAACCTCCCACAGAGGCCTTGGCACGGATTACGGGTTTCAATCCCGCCTGCCGCCTTCCTCTCTGAATAAAAAAACTAGACAAGTGAGACGGGCAGAAGGAGACATATCCGGACACTCAGATACGAGAGGGGTGCACTCAAACTCGCGTGAGAGGGCCTTGATTCCTTGACACGCCTCAGGGCCCCCCAATGATGGCCAAACACGCAGTAATACCGCCAAACTGAAGTCAAAACGTTGAATGTTGATCTCCTGACGGTCCTCCAAATCACAATGGTAACCCCCTTTGCAAAGTTCAACCACTTCCCCAAGTTGTGACACCGCTTCTTATGACCGAACCGCTACTACGCAGCCCAGAAAGACCCTGTTCAAATAGATCACACCCCTCTGCTCTATTTGAAGCGCAGGCACACTCAACAAAACTCAACCGAATATAGCATGTACAACAACCGTGTGCACCAACAAGATACTGTAGTACCACACAATGCAGTTCTTGACAGCTAACGAAGCATGACACTACACAACAACAGTTAGGCAGAGTGCGCAGCGAAACCCAACCTGCAAAGTGGCCGTGTGCAAAAAAACAAGCTCCATCAGTGGAGCATCAAAACACAGCGGACGACGCCTTCCCACTCCGCGCCCCGAGCTTGCGAGATCACCACCGTTCCTAAACAGTGGTGCGGACAAATGAACCCCCAACTCTTGGTAGAAGTTCCAACTGCAGATCCTCAATGAAAGCCTGATGCTCGAATATTGCCTTGACTATAGAAATACACCAATACAACTATCCAGAAAGCAGAAGTTCAGAGACACAACATCGATGGAGACTCAAGGTCAGAACTCAAATGTCGATGAAAGCATGCACTGGCCACTACCGCAAACATGAACTAAGCTTTCCCACTTCCCGGCACCTTGTGCCCAAACTGTGATTCCACAGCTACTCTATCAGACAGAGCCTCCTGCTAACGACCGCATCAGCAACCAACAACGAAGTCCAACAACAACAGTAAAACAACAAAGGCTGTGCACTAGCCGCTCCTCCTTTCCTCTGCGCTCATCATCAACAGTAACAGTTGAAGTACATGAAGATGCCACTCACACTGACCACCGTCGTGGGGAGGTACGTTCCCCCACACTTCGCATTTGCACCGGAGATCAGCATCGGACGAACCTCCCACACGATTGACAAGCCGTGTTTCCACAACTTCTATCCGTGCTGGAAACCAGAAATCAAACCAAACTTTTTCCCCTTTGCTCCATACAAGGTCTTCGTTTTTACTGTGTTCACCTTAGGATGCCTGCGTCATCTTCCCCGCTAGCATCAACAGCAACAAAGGGAGCGCACGCGGACGCTGAATATGCAGACTATATCGCCGCGACCGGGTATGTAAGCTCTGCCTCGATCAGGTGCCTGCTCTCTCTCTCTCTCCCTCTAGAACCCGCGCCTGGCAACACATAAGCTTCAAGAAGGGAGTGAACCTTCTCCCAAAGTGCAGAAAGATTCGTTACAGCACGCCTCCGCTGCGACACAACCTGTTGCCATTAGCAGCCTTAGCCAAGGCACGTACAGGTAAGTCTTCCTTTGTCCCCCGAACTCTCTCAGCTCTACCACTTCTACTACCGGGACGACTGACCCCGTTGCCCGACTCGCTTTAAAGCTAGCGGGTTAATATAATCACGAGAGGGACAAAAGACGTGAGCAGGGTGGAATAGTCGTGGTCTGCACTAATAATCATGAACAGAAACGAGGACAGCAATTCACTTACTCTCAGCGACAGCCCCCGATGACGAGCACAGATAGCAGCAGCATCCGCAGGCAACACGATTGTTAATAAGCAAATGTGAATGAGTATCCCGCTGGTCAGGTATACACTGCCTTCCAACCATGAAGATTGAGAGAGGCTACCTCCATCGATGGGCGAGCAAAATCGGAATGAATCTTCCATCAGGACAAGAGAAGATTTCCCCGTAGAACCCCTCTTGCACCGTTGTGCTCAGCCTGTCAGGTATGTATTCCCTCACCCCTTCTGTTCCTTTCGCTTAGTCAACTCGGCCTCCTCCTTTCCGATGCATCTGACCGCCTTACCGACCAGATTCGTACGGGCCCAAACCCAACAGTGTTGCAGACCGTAAAGGGGAGCAGCATGGCGGTCACGACCGCGAAGGAGCCAACCACATCTCACAAGTCATGCAGGTAAGTCTTTTGTTTTCCTTCTCAGTTCACCCACACCCCTCTGAATTCCCCTTCCCCGCCCTCGCTCTGCTTACACACACGCCTTTCCCCCCTATCAGCAGAACTTAGTCATCAAATGTAATGATGTCGACAGCGAGCCGTAGCAGCATGGGACAGCAAGCAGCAACAACATGGCCCCGTTTCTTTCCTCACCGAAAAAGAGAATGAATATTCCCCAAAACATGGGAAGATTCATGCCACTCTAAAGTGATCTCCCATTTGGGCGCAGCTCCCACCTACTGGTATGCCAGTTCTTCCCCCAATAGACAAAACTAGATAACACCTACGAGATTCACAGCACCTGAAATTCGTTGTTTACGACTTCACTTCGCTCGATTCCTTCGAGGATCGAGCGAAATATCGGATTCCCGCTCTTGCCATAGCTTCCTTCATGCTACCTCTGCGCAGTCACTTTCTCTCCTATCTCCCTGCACAGCGCTCTAACGTGCAAACTAACCGCACCATCTGACTCGCCTTGCCTAAAAACCCCAAGATCGCCTCTTAGTTCGAAAAAAACGGTCGTGAAACGAGAGAGATATGCTAAATCTTGCTCCCCACCATATTTTGTTTCACGATATCTTCGCGCACGACTTTTCTCTCCTAACTCCTATACCACTAACTCTCCATTAAAACTAACGTTAGATTCAGGTTCGCCTTATCCCAAAACCACTACCTACCATCTCTCCCTGCCTGATTCCATCAACGAACGGGTGGCCATAAACTTTCACTCCCGCCATAGCTACCTCCCCTCGTTGCTGCCTTCTTCCTCGCCCCGCATGCACCTTGTGCAGAACCCCGTCCGGGTTCGTTCTCCCTCCTCTGCATTCGCTGCCTTGGCTCGCCGTCTCTCCGCCTGTCGTGCTCCAGCCGTGCGCTAATTCAGACACTCGGATAAGTGTTGGCTGATACAGACCGCCGGACGGTAGTCATCGAGGCCGATGTCCGCTAAGGAGTGAGAAACCTGCGGAACTCCGATCAGCCCGAAGGCTGACAGTGCTGCAGCACACGACCTGTGTTCGACAGCCGTGGCAGTTCCGATGCCTTGATGAGTAGAGGCACCCGGGCCCACTGCGAAGCCTGAAGCTCGTGCCTAGGTGAAGCGGGTTCCGGTGCAGTTCTTGGTGGTAGTAACAAATATTCAAATGAGAACTTTGCAGGCCGAAGTGGCCTGCTGCTGAGACAGCTTGGGCCGCGCAGCCATCACTGCGACAGCCTTTGGCTGGTGCCCCCTGGCCCCACCCAGGCATGGATCACCACCTTGCGGGGCCCTGCAGGCATACTCACACTCAAACCTCTCTCAGCAGATTGTGGCTGGTGGACGGTACGCCTGCAGCAACCCCCTCCACTCAGGTTTCTTTCCGCCTCGTGGGCTAATTACCCACCGGCTCGCATGCACGTTGAACTCCCCGCTCCGAGTTTCAAGTCGGGCGGCTAGGGGAATCTTGCCAGCACCCAGGCATGCCGGAAATCCGAACGGCCCCGCCGAAAGGGGCGCGTGATCAAGGTCCTCGACTGCCATAACGGCCACCCGTGTCCGGCAAAGTAGTAGCCGAGCCAGGCCCGTGGTGCCTGACGTCGGTCTCGGACCCGTTCACCAGGTCAAAGACAACCGTAACAATAAAAGTAGGAATAAAATAAAAAATGAAATTAAGTTTAATTAACATAAATAAGAACAAATGCGAGGAAACAAAAAAAAGTAATGGGGCGAGGGGCCGCGTCCCGCTGGCCTGTGACGCTGCGCACACCCAGGTCGTGCATGGTTGCACCTTGCCGTCGATATCTTCGCAAGCGCTGCTCACCCGGGCAAGGACTCAACTCTCACCTGCGAGTGCGCCGTCAACTTCAGACGAGGCTACACTGACGTGACTTACAAAAAGCACGTCAAATACCCTTGTAAGGGTATTTGGTACGACAACGTGGATGTCAACGATATCCTGGAGCACAGAGACATGCCTGTTTCCAAGCCAGCCGGCCGGGGTAGACCGCTTAAGCCTGAGTGAGAGTACAGGGTTCGGTTCAGGCATCATACGGATCCTAGAGAAGATCGATGCTTTACGGGGGAGGAACTTGTCAAGACAGCTCCTCAGATTGTGGCCGAGTATGAGAAGAAACTGAAGGGGAAGGCACCAGCATGAAGCATCTCAGTGGACTTTCGAAGCCAAGGGGGATGGAATGCGAGGAACGAGCCCTCACGGGGCCCTTATCGGACAAACACATGTTCTGGGCAGAGGCCCCCAGCAAGCCGAGTGCCCGCCCTAAGTGAAGGCGGGCCTGAATATTCATCACAGGCCAAAACTCGACATTTTTCATATATGGGTACTCAGGCTGTTGCAGCCCACCAGTTGGTTGAGTGGACACGCGAGCCTCCCTAAGCTGCGTCGTACAGTTGGCCCAGGCCTTGGCAGATGCGCCTGGGCACATACACACAAAGCAGGGCCGAAACATCATGAAGTGGTCACAAGCCTATGCAAAAGCAGTACTGTCGACGCACCTACCCCGGGGTCCTGTGCAACTGCAGCAAACGGCCCAAGTCTGGAGACTCAGGCCGTGCCCAACTGTAAAGGGTCCAGGCCCTCAACTGCGGCCTCGGGCCTGGCCGCAGGAACTGGGGCCCAACAGGAAGCAACTAAGAGCTTCCAGCCAGGCCACACACAGCAATGCAGGGGCTGCCACTTCCATATAGGAAGGAGAGCAGCCAGGGCCTCGACATTCTGGCCTGCGCAAGCAATGCGGTCACGCTGCTGCGCTGCTGCATTGGATGCTGCGTTGCGGCTAGTGCGCTTGTGGGGCTCGTTGAGGTGAGGTGGGGCGCTGCAGGGCAGCAGAGCGTGGACAGCCATAGCCGAGCTGCTGGGCGCTAGGGGGTAAGAGGGCGATTGGTGGTCTTCAGGAAGGAGGCGAGTGTGTGGGTGATCAAGGTCTGATGAGGGTAACGAGATACGTACCTGGTGCATGAAGAGAGGTCGGCTATGGTGGTGACATCATGTGCATTGGTCTTCGGGAGTCGAAGTGAGCCTGTTGCGTGAATACAGCTGTAGGTAGGATAGTCGAGTAGAGTAGGCTGGGCGCTGGGCGCCAGACAGAGATGAGCGACATTGGACTCTGTGTTGGTGTGGCCTGAGGGCTTGAACATTGGCTCGTTACTTCATTGTATTGCTCTATTTGGATGGATTCTCGGTGCGTTTGTGCTCTCTGCTTGTACATGACTACTTGGACATCTGTGTGATTTCGCAACTCGGTTTCTTGTATATCGTTCACACTCATATTCCTTGCATTATATTCAACTTACCCTAAAAAGATCAGATTTTCATTTTTACTCACTTTTTTTCAAATAGAATGCCCCTTCTAATATAACGCCCAGATGTTATATTCGAATAGAATGCCCGGGCGTTATATCTGAATGTTCCATGTGCATAGTGCCTTGTAGAGGTAGTATTCTTGGGTTTTAAAGGGGGGGGAGGGGGGTATACATGGGTTTTATAAGCGATAGTCAAAATGACAGAATTCCAGATTGCAAAATCACATTGAAAGCCAGATAGTGGAACGCTGTCCAGAAAGCAGAATTGCACTGATAATCCACCAATGGAGAACAAAGCACCGAATTCAAATGTCAATGAAAGCAGACTCTCGCCACCACCAACGTATGTATCCAGAACCCTTCCTCCTACCTGGCGCTCAGCGCCCAGACTTCTATCACGCAGCTACTTATCCAGTCTATGAATTGAC